CGGGGATTTCCTTCTGCCCCCCCCCCGTACCCCTTTCCTCTGCCTCCTCTCCCCCTCCCCCTCAGCCCCCCAGTGCCCCTGGCGAGATGTGGGCAAATGGCAGGTGGGGAAGCCAGTTGAGGGGTGCCTCTCTGACCCTCTCCTTGCTTCTCCTCTGCCCTGGCAGCCCCCAGGAAGGAGTCCCTGCCCCTCACTTGGGTGCTTGGCCCTGCCCTGAGCCTTGGGCTGATCAGCGGCATCATTATCTCTGTGTACTTCCTGGTCAGCGCCAACTGCCTCGGGCCTTGGTAAGAGAATCCCCTCCCCCTCCCCGTAGCCCACCAGCCTCGTTCCCACATCAGGAAGGACCCCTCTGCCTGCTACCCACAGAACCCTGATGGCCCTCTCCATCTCCTCCTTGCTCCCTTTCTATCCACTCCCATTACACCTGGGATACCCTGACCCTCCAGCACCTCCACTAGCTATTTGGAACCTTTGCGCAGATCAGGAATTGATGCAGTTTCCTTCAGGCAGATGCATATTGATCCTGGGCATTTAGCTTGGCAAAGCAGAACTTGGGCTAGAATTTAGCCCCTACTCGCTATTCCCCTTAAAATTAGACGTCCTTGGGCAGTGCACAACCTGAGCCTCCATCCGTGGCAGCCTTAACTAGGAGGCTCATTTTCTACCTCCTTCCTCATAGTTTGCTGTGCACCAGACATTTCCAGCCCTGACTATTCTGGCTTGTGTGGTCTTCCCTGCTCTACTCCTACATCCTTCTCTTGAATAGCTCTCCTCTGTCTTTACAGAATAAGTAATGATATTACACATTTCACTTGTGCCTGTCTCCTCATCAGAAATAGAGAGTAGGTACCTCCTCGGCTGGCCATTCTTTTTGGTTGTTTTTGTTTTGTATTTTTGAGACACGCGTCTGGCTAAGTTGCCCAGACTAGCCTCGAACTTACAATCCTCCTGCCTCAGCCTCCTGGCTCTGTGACCAGCCCTCGGAGCATGGGACTGACACAAGACCCCATCCTCTCCCCATCTCACCCCTGCCCCTGCCTCCACCCCGCCCCCCTGCACAGGCTCAAGAAGGTTCTGAAGTGCCACATCCCAGACCCCTCCGAGTTCTTCTCCCAGCTAAACTCCGAGCACGGAGGGGACTTCCAGGTAGGAGCCCGAGGCAGGCGAAGCAGGCTGAGTGGGGCGGGCAGGGTAGGGCAGGGGGCACAGCAGTAGTAGCTTTTGCTGAATGTGCCAGTCTGCCTGGGGCCTGCCGTTTTCTGGAAGTTACAGAACCTCTCTGTGCTTGACTTCCTCCCCGTATAATGGGGAGAAAATAGTGTAACGCTGGCCGGCAGGGACCCCGCTGGGATTACTAACCACAGCCACCGCGAGTCCTCCGCCTGGCCTTGGCTCGCTGGCGCGTGCAGCTCCGCGGTCCCCTCCCCCAACCCACCTGCTTAGGGCTGGAAGCTTCTCCAGGGGGCGGGAAGAGGGCCCTGAGGTTGGGAGGGGCGCGTCTCACCAGGCGCTCTCCATTGCCCTGCGTCCGTGTCTCCTTCCTCCTCTTCGCTCCTTTCTCAAGGGAGTGAGATCTTAGGGCAATCAAGCAAGCCTTGGTGGGCTGTGTGGGAAACGTGGCGGCCGCGCGTCCTACATGAGGGCGGGTTGCGGCCGGACCAGAGGACTCCCCAGCCCTCTTCTGGCTTGGAGTCCTGGCTAAGGCCCTGGGAAATAATGGGGGGTCGCGGGGATCACGTCACCCTCTGATCCAGCTTCCTGACCCAGGCCCAGTGTGGGGAGGTGGTTTCCAGGGACCCTCGAGGTGTCGAGGTCCGGGGCTGGCCAAGAGGACCCGCTGGGAACCCTGGTCTCATCCCCGTCCTCTCCAGAGCCCCGCCCCGAGGCCACAGGGCAAGTGTGGCGCACGTGTGCGCGTGCACATGAGTGTGCCTGTGGGAGTCGCCTGGGGAGGACCAGGGGCGCCCGCGGCAGCGCTCACTCACCTACCATTACCCCTGTGCGCAGGAGGCCGCAGCCCCACTGGGAGGGCTCCCCTACCTGGGGCCCCACCAGCCCCCCAGGACTTCCTGCCCCCCACATCTCCCTGGGCCGGGGTCTCCTCCTCCGTGTGCTCACTTGACTTCTTCCCGCCAAATCGACAGGCAACAGTGAGGGAGTCAGGAAGGAAGTGGTCAACACTTGTGGAAACTGAGGCTCAGAGAGGGTCAGTGGCCTGGCCAGGACCACGCAGCCGGGGTGCCACGGCTGAGCTGGAATTTGGGTCTCCCTGCTCTTCACCGGGGCTCGGTGGACACCCAGCCACCACCCCGTGTCCCATGGCACCATCCTTTCTGTGGGCAAGGATGAGGGGCTGGAGGGCACTGGGAGAGAAGGGTGACTGGGAGCCCCTGAGCCCGTCAGAGAGGTCTGCATCCAGCACTCACACCCTGGGGCCCAGCCCCGCCCCGCTGACCCTCACAGGGCTGGGTGTGGCCCTCTTCAGCATCCATCGGTGTGCAGGACCGGCGCCTGGGCCTTCTGCTTGGGCAGTGCTTGGTTGGTGGGAGCAGATGCTTGTGCTGGTCCTCTTCGGGCACCCCGGGGGTCCTGTCCTCTGCATGGCCTCATGCCTGGGACAGTGCTGGGCACTCAGTGGGTGCTCGGGGACTGGCATGCTCATTCTCCAGGCGTCTGCAAGCCTGCACTGGGCTCTGTGATTGTTTGTGTGCTCTGTGGCAGAGGGGTTTGGGGGCACTGGCGACCGCGGAGGTCCTGAGACACCGCTCACCCCTGCTGGCCTCTCCTCCCACAGAAGTGGCTGTCCTCGCCCTTCCCCTCACCCTCCTTCAGCCCGGGGCCCCTGGCGCCTGAGATCTCGCCGCTGGAAGTGCTGGACAGGGACACCAAGGCCACGCAGCTGCTCCTGCTGCGGCAGGACACCGCGCCACTGCCCTCGCCTGCACCGAGCGGCCACTCCCAGACCAGCTGCTTCACCAACCAGGGCTACTTCTTCTTCCACCTCCCGGATGCCCTGGAGATCGAGGCCTGCCAGGTGTACTTCACCTACGACCCCTGTGCTGAAGCAGAGCCCGAGGAGGATGCACCCCTGGGGTCCCCCCTTTCACCCCTGCCACCCCTGCCAGGAGAGGACGATGCGTACTGCACCTTTCCCCCCACGGATGACCTGCTGCTCTTCTCCCCCAGTCTCCACAGCGCCCCCCACATTCTCCCTGGCCCAGCTGGGGCCAGTGAAGGGAAGCTGCGCCCCTCCCTGCAGGAGGGGGCCCCTCAGGACTGGGGCCCCCCATCCCTGGGGTTCCCCATCCCAGCAGCCCCCAACGCAGTGGGTTTCCAGTCACCCCTGGAGCAGACTCTGGGGGAGGCTGGGGAGGAGGCGCCTGTCCCAGAGCCCGGGGACGGGGGTGGCTCTCCCAGGCAGGGCCCGGTCAGGCCCCCGACCGCTCCCCACGCTGACACCGACGCCTACCTGTCCCTCCAAGAACTCCAGGCTCAGGACCCAGCTCACCTGGTGTAGACAGATAGCCAAGGGTGGAAGGCAGGAGGCTGCCCACTGCAGTGCCAGGACTGAGGGAGTGTCCGGAGGACAGTCCACTGTGGAGGACGTCTCCACCCAGGTGTCCCCACCCGGTGCCACTCTCGACCTCCCCCTGGGGTAGAGTGGGAGGCTGATCCCCCTCCCTCTCTCATCACTGAGTCCCCAGAGCTTTGTCTCTGAAGCATCGGCCTCCCAGCCCGCAGTCACCTGCTGCCACCAACATCCCCCGACCTCCCCCGATCTTCTTCTTCAGGGCATCGCCACAGTGGGCTCCACGTGTCAATATGGCCAGTACAGCCATGCTCCACACCTGCTGCAAACACGGTGTGGCTCCCTGCAGCCCTTGTCACCTTCCTAAGCTGCCACTTGCCCCTCCGTGCTAGGACAGTCCCTTCTGAGACCCTCACAAGTGGCTTCACCGCAGTGCTGGTGGAGAAGGGGTCTCTCCTGACCTAGGAACAGACATAAATCCCTGTGGAGTGGATGCTTCTGGAGCTTTCCACAGTGGCCTTACAGACTCACAAAGGAGGGGGCTGCTGGAAAATAAACCAGGAGTCCCTGCAGCCCAGGCAGCAGCCGCCTCCTCCGAGCAAGGGGTCCCCACCATGGGCAGCTCCCACCCACCTTCCGGCCAGGGCTCTTGCCCTCAGGAATTCCCCAGGATGCCTGCACGCAGCCCAGCAAGAGGCCAATCCCTTCACACTGCAGTGCTCCCTTCCTACATGGCTGGCCCTACCTGCTCAGTGTTCCCACCACCGCTCTGCTCCCCTTCCCTCTGTGGCTGCCACTGTTCACGTGTGATTACCACCCTACACCCCTGAGAGGAAGACCTCCCATCCCCAGGTGACTGGCTTGGGACCAATAGAGTCTGCATTTATAGGTCTTTCTTGCAGCCAATTGGACATCTAACCACAAGCCCACCCATAGTCTGGCTAGCAGCCTATGAGATAGGTTGGCAAAAAAGCTTGGTCCTATCAGGGAGGCTAGGAGTGATCTAGCCAATCAGATTATCTCGGGCTATTTAGCCCTTGGGAAGCGTGAGAGGCCCCTGGGAACAGTTGCTTGGGGAAAGGGCTCCCAGGAGCTGGGAGAGAGGGTCTGGGGGTCCTGACACAGAAACTCCAATTGCCTGAACCATTCTGTCTCAGTCCCTGTTTCTTTATGATCAAAATAAATTCTTTCTTGAGGTTGTGTGAGTCTTGGGTCTTTCCCATGGAAAGTGCTTAATTACAGGATGGTCTCATTCCCACCTTCTGCTACAGGAATGTGTCTGTCCCAGGCCACAAGGGCTCCTCAGGCCTGGCCTGTGGGTCAGACTCGGGCCACACCGTTGCTGTGTGTCCCGGCCCGAGTGGCCAGACCTCTCTGTATTCAGTTTCCCTGTCTCCAAAATGGAGGTAACATTCACCCCCATACTTTGAAAGGTTCTTGGGCGGGTTGGGTTTCCTAGGTCTTGAGGACAGATAGGTGGAACTCTGTGTACCACCATTGTTATTATTTTCTTGATATTTTAAAAAAATCAATTCACTTTTTAAAAATACATTTAAAGAAAAATCTGTTTCAAAAACAAGACCTGGCGGTACTGGGGGTTAAACCTATGACTTTTGCACTGAGACATTTACTGAGCCTTTTTATTGTTTATTTTGAGACAGCAAATTGCTAGGTTGCCCAGGCTGGCCTCAAATTTTGGATCTGCCTACCTCAGCCTCCTAGAGTGTCGGAATAACACTGTTAGCCACGCCGGACTAAGAAAAATCTTTTTTTTTTTTTCCTTTTTGGAAATAGGGTCTCACCATGTGTTCAGGCTGGCCTTGAACTCACTACGTAGCCCAGGTTGGCTTCAAGCTCATGGCGGTTCTAGCTCAGCCTCCTGAGTGCTGGGACTACAGGTATGCGCCACTTGACCTAAGAAAAATCTTTATCGTGTCTCTCTAAGTGGAAAACTGATTTTCACTATAAATAAAAGAGAATGGGGGCCGGGCGTGGTGGTGCATGCCTGTAATCCCAGCACTCAGGAGGCTGAGGCAGGAGGATTGCTATGAGTTCGAGACCAGCCTGGGATACATCGTGAGTTCCAGGTCAGTCTCAACTACACAGTGAGACCCTGTCTCAAAAAACCAAACCAAACCAAAACAAAACAAAACAAAAAGCAACGGGGCCAGGGATTTAGCTCAGTGGTTCCAGGAAAGTACAAGGTCCCAAGTTCAATCCCCAGTACCAAAAAAAGAAAAAGAGAAATACTGATTAAATAAATGGCAACTATAAAAGGTAAGTGCAAAGAAGCAAAACTTTTATATTCACTGCTCAGTGGAAGTCTGTTGTCTTTTGGTCTGGAGGGGAGATTAGCAAGTAACGGGAAATTATTGAAAACTAAATGGATACTTTGTCCTTGAGAGCAAACAGAAGAATTGTATTATCTTTCTCTACTAGGAGTCAGGCTGATCTTATTTGGTGTCCGGGAGCTATCTAACATCTGTCATATGCTTCACAGATCTGTCCCTGGGAAATATTGCACTTGATGTCTCTGTCTGTCTATTAATCAATCATGTTTTTGTAGTGCCCTAAAAAAAATGGTGACCCAGACCATGGATAACAATTCCTTGCACTCATAAATCCCGAGCCGTGCAGACTTTGCTAATTGATTACACCCCTGCTTGGCAGACATTTCTAATTGATCACAGCCTGCCTTCCTGCAGAGCCTGGGGACAGCTTTAGATTCTTCAATGCTACGCTAGGGGCAGCCCCCAGCCGATCACAGCCGGTACCTGGTGACATCTCCGGGCCACATTAACCTCTCAAGTTCCTTTTGCAAAAGGAGCTCTTAATTTTTCCAACTCCAATATTCCAGGAGGGGAAAAGTGGGGCTGAGACTGCGGGGCATGGAAAGCTGAGAGGGGTCCATGAGCCGGGAGCTCAGGGAGCCCAGCTGTCCCTACCACACCTGGTGAGAGCTGAGCTGCAGGAGTGGAGGGAGGGGCCACCTCAGGGGGGCGGATGGGCCTCAGCACCCTGAGTGCTGCCCCGTGGGGTCAGAGCATGAATCTTGGAGAGGGGGTGAGAAGGGAGCAGCTGGCAGGGGTGGGGTGAGGGTGCCAGCTGGGGACCAGGCGCAGCCCAGCGGAGCCCGAGAGAACCATCAGGTGCAGAGGGAAGCAGGAGGCTGCTGTGGATCTGGGGAATTGGAGAAGGGAGGGTTCCAGCTTCTCACATTTCTTCTTTGTGTAACTGGACTTGTTCCTTTGCCTCCCCAGCAACTCCCAGATTCCGCTTGGAGAAACTCTTCCAACCCTAAGATGGTGGCATCTGTAGGCCCCAGCGGACGACGAATAGCCTGTCACCACCTTCCTCGTTCTCTGAGGGGAAATTATACCCCCCAAACCTTGCACACTGAGCAAGGAAGTGAGCTAATCTTCTGTGCCAGGCACTGCCCAAGTGCCATCTCGCACCACCTGAAAACTACCCTGAGAGGCAGAATTGTTACCCATTCTGCAGATCAGGAAACCGAGGCTCAGGGAGGCTCCGGAGTACTGCTGATGGTTGACAGCAGCAAGATTCGGCTGGGTGCGCTGAGCTCCTCACTTTGGACCCTCTGCAGATTCCAACCTGCATGGGAGATGGTGACAGTGAGGCAGAAAGGGATGGAGATTCCACGCTCAGCCTCCTGAGACAAACCCAGAGACACTGGACCCTCCACTGGGACCACGAGGAGAGAAAAGCCCTTCAAAAAAAGCCTCGGAGAGACAGGAGTTCATCCATTCTGTTATTTATTCACTCGCTCAGCACAGTTAAGGAGGCTGGTGGTGTGCAAGGCCGGGCAGGGGCTGGCGGGAGTGGCTCTGAGGTGGCCTTGCCCAGGCCTCCTCCCCCTGCTCGCTGACCGGGCTCCCTCCACCTGCCCAGCATGGGGCAGCTGTTCCCATGCCCACCCTGGGGTCCATGCGGCAGGCCCGCCTGTTCTCCTGGAGCGGGGCTCAGCCGCCTCGCTGGCTGGTCCTGTCCTTGCCCTGGCCCCAGTCCTGCCGCTTCCACCCCTGGGCCCTGCCACCGAAGCCCTGTGTGGCCTTCAGTGAAACCCCCCTTTCCAGGACTCCTTAATGGGAGAGTCCACAACCTGGGGCACCGTGGGGTGCTCCTGTCTGCTCTCCTGCCCCACTGGTGAACAGAGCAGTCAGGCTGAGTGATTTCCAAGTCCTCTCCTGGTCCCAAGTGTCTGCGGTTCCAGGTGCCACATGGATTATGGCATGAGGCTAGAACCACGTTTCACTTCAAGAATTGGGGGCTGGGGTTGGAGATGCGGATGACGGCAGGGACCACAACCAACTCATCTGCCTCAGCACATGTTGATCCCTGGATTTGAAGTAGTCCTGCACCCCAACAATCCATTCCGGACTCCTATACAACCCTTAGAACCCTACTCAAGCATCCCCACTTCTGCGAGGCCCACTGATTTGCCCTGGGTAAGGTTCACTACTCCTCCTACTGTCCTTCTTCTGAGCTATCTCTGTGATAATGATCTGTCATGCTATGGGTCAGACTGTGGGCAGATTCTGAGAATACAGGAGTGGTAATGATAGCACTCTGGGAGGCAGAGGCAGGAGGATCACAAATTTCAGCTCAGCCTGGGCAACTTAGTGACTTAGTGAGACTTTAACCAATTTAAAAAGGCAGAGGTGGTCTGGGGATGTAGCTCAGAGTAAACACCCTAGGTTAAATCCCCAGCACCACCACCAAAAAGGGGTGAGGGGCAGCAGTATGGAGCACTTAAAAGCATTAGAATTAGACTGTGTTCTAAGCACTGTGTTACTAACTCGCTTGCTTCTTGTGTCAGTGCCCGAGGGAGGGAGGGAACCCTCTCACCCGGTTTATAGCAAGAATGATTCAGAGTGTGTAAGCGGCCTGAGGTCACACAGCAAGGGTATGAAGCCAGGCGATCGGAGGCACTCACGGGGGCCCTGGTCTTCGTGACTTAGAGCTGTCCGCATCCAGAGGATCTCTGACCTAGTGGGACAGGAATGACAGAGATCCTACGTCACCTTTCTCAGTTGAGGACAGGGGGCCCCAGGGCCGGTGCCTTCCCAGGCAGCGAAGCAGTGGGGGAGGGGTGGGCCGGAGCTCACCGGGGCAGCCCCTTGTCAGAGTCTTTCCACCCTGCGGGCTGTGACACTGTGAGGCATCTGGTGCTCCAGCCAGGGGGAGGCGGGGAGCCGGGCAGGAAACCCGGGCCGGGTGGGCAGAGCGACTGGGCGCGGGCCGGGCTGCGGTTCCAGGAAGCCAGGTT